GAAGGAACAAGGGGCTAGGATTAAAGCAGAAAGAAACAAGTGTCTAGTATTAAAGCAGGAAGGGACACGGGGCTAGGATTAAAGCAGGATGGAACAAGGGGACTTAGGTTAAAGCAGAAAGGAACAGGGGAGTTAGGATTAAAGCAGGATGGAACAGGGGGTCTAGGGTTGAAGCAGAAAGGAACAGGGGGGCTAGGATTAAAGCATGGAGAAACAGGGGGCTAGGATTAACAGGATGGAACAGGGGAGTTAGGATTAAAGCAGGAAAAAACTGGGGGCTAGGATTAAAGCAGGANTTAATCATTAACCTTTCTGTGAAATTAAGAAAAATATCCATAATGCAGACGGAGGATCTATGTAAAAGATAAATAAAAATTAGCATGTGATGACATGAAACATATATAGAAATATGTACAAGTACATTTAATTGTATAGTTAAGAATGTTAATTTATTATAAATCTAAATATTTAACATCTCTTAAATTATTTAATTGAACCACACGCTCAATTATAATTCTTCAAAAATAGCAATTGCCGCGGATAAGATTGGTCAAAAAATCATACCCAGAAAAAACACAATTATAAGAATTGACCATCTATGCAAAGATGGCAAAAGTGCACAAGTCACTTTAGTAGGGAAACCACAATTTAAAATATCCAGATTAAAGAAACAAAAACATGGATATCTAATTCAATCTTGATCAGACAAAGCTTTAAAGGAAACCGTTGTGGCATTGTCATCTTCCATGCATGCAGGGTCACTTGAAATTACGCTTTCAGTCCATTCAATGCACGCACCTCTGCCCCTTTACTAAAAGTAAATTCAACCTATATGAAGCATAAAGTCTAACCACGTCAACCTTGTTGCACCGGCTAGTCCTGTCCATAGAGCTAGAAACAGTACACACTGGGACCGGAAAGGTTGTACTACGGCTGCCCGTGAATTCAATAAAAAAAATCTCCTTTGTTTGATACCAAAGTGTGAGCACACCACTGAAATGCACAATAACTTCGTGTTTACCCCTTGTCTTGTTCTAACTTGTTCTGTCCGAAATGTACTTTATTATATTAGTTATAGTATAACCAAGTATTTACCAAACATATATATATATATATATATATATATACAATTATTATAGATAAATCCTTTTTCTTCATATCTTTTATAGTTTACTTAACTTATCACATCCAATATAGTGTTAACAATTTTCTTATCTTTTTTGCACCCCCCTCAACCTCAATCCATGTATATGCTCCAGGTCAAGGGTTGCACCCCCCTCAACCTCCATCCATGTTTATGCTCCAGGTCAAGGGTTGCACCCCCCTCAACCTCCATCTATGTATATGCTCCAGGTCAAGGGTTGCACCCCCCTCAACCTCCATCCATGTTTATGCTCCAGGTCAAGGGTTGCACCCCCCTCAACCTCCATCCATAATAATGCTCAGGGTATAGGGTTGCACCCCCCTCAACCTCCATCCATATATGTTTATGCTCCAGGTCAAGGGTTGCACCCCCCTCAACCTCCATCCATAATAATGCTCAGGGTATAGGGTTGCACCCCCCTCAACCTCCATCCATAATAATGCTCAGGGTCTAGGGTTGCACCCCCCTCAACCTCCCTCCATGTTTATGCTCCAGGTCTAGGGTTGCACCCCCCTCAACCTCCATCTATGTTTATGCTCCAGGTCAAGGGTTGCACCCCCCTCAACCTCCATCCATGTTTATGCTCCAGGTCTAGGGTTGCACCCCCCTCAACCTCCATCTATGTTTATGCTACAGGTCAAGGGTTGAACCCCCCTCAACCTCCATCTATGTTTATGCTCCAGGTCAAGGGTTGCACCCCCCTCAACCTCCATCCATGTTTATACTCCAGGTCTTAAAGTTGCACCTCCTCAACCTCTGTCCATGACCATATATTTATAAAAAGTTTTCATAATTCACATGACATAATTTAAAGTATCAACATTATTCATTGAAAAGTTTCTTTTTTAGAAATAGAATTTAGGACTTTAATATAAACTTTTGTAATATTGTCGCAATTCCTAGATCCCCGGCTCCCCTTCAAACTGCAAAGCAAATTCTGAAACAATAATTACATTATGTCAAAAAGAAAAAGTAATTATCAAGTTGAGATGTTCTAGTTATGTACAGTGTATACTGTATTTATAAATCTTAATATTTAAAACATAGAAATATATCCATGGATCATGGGTTAGAAAGTATTTTTAAAAGTCTGAATTAAAAAACACCAAAATAAAGTCTGTATCAAAAAAATTTAGATAAAAGAATTATTATAGTGACACTGACTTCAATGATGGATAAACGAACGGCCTTTTTTCAAGTAAAATGATAAATATTTATAAAATGTACGATGAACAAAAAAGTATAATGGAGTTAGTTAGGTAAAAAAAATCCAATATTTTACAGAATCTGATTTTAATCTTACTTTAAAATTAGAATTTAGAAAAAGTTAATTAAGAAAAAAAGGATTTATCAAAAAGAACTATTATCTAATTTTGAAGAAAAAGGATTTGTAAAGATATCTTAAGAAAATGTACAGAGCTGAAAACTTTAAAATAGTGGATATCGAGATCAATGCTTTATCTCCTCTTTTTCTAAATATCCAGATTAAATATTGCTTGTTCTCCTCTTGATATTAATCTCCATATTAATTAACCGATCGGGATTAAGGATATCCCATTCTAAAGTTTTCAGCTCAGAACAGAATAAAATTGTCAGAAAAATATCAAAGAAAGAACATTTATTTTCTGTGGAATTTAAATTTTAGACAAAATATTTCATCATATTCAACATTATCAATAATTCAACGTTTTCAATACGCTCTTTTCTTGTTTTAAGCTCAATTATCAAATTATTCTTCATCTTAAACTCTCTGTTCTCATCTTTTCATCCACAGGTCTAAGAAAACGAATATAAATGCCAATAGCTTGTTATGTTCAAGGAAGTTTATAGCAAAGTATTTTTAAAACTAAAGAGTCCGAATTTTATGATTTTAAGCCGCCTCTCAAGTCAGCCAAAAAACCGGTTACAATTGAGCGCCGGCTTAAATCTTGAAACATTAAATATAATTTCACGTGGCGCCAACCATATTTGAGCCGTGTCTTAAATATAAGCCGCGGCTCAAATTCTTTAAATTTGGCCTTTGTTTAACCCAGAACTTAGGAAACATCTAAAGAATTTATAAAATGTCGTCTTGACAATTTTTCTAAGAACTCCATATTATATCATTTAATTAAGAAAAACAGATATCTGCAACATTCCATAATCAGTAGGTTAAAAAACGACATTTCATTTATTCTTTCGTTGTTTCCAAAGTTCTGGGTTATATTTATACACATATGAATTGGTTAAAAGTGCGCTTTATCCTTAGAATGCAGTTGCACACATTTCGATGTTTTTTACATCATCATCTATAAATATTAATAAATCTGTAAAACAAGAACTAAGTAAATAAAGCAGTTCGAAAACCAGTTTTAAAGTCCTGATTTTTTTAAGTTGTTGATCCCTAACTTGAATGAATTATGTTCTGATGAGGTTTTAAATGAATTGCAAAAAGGTAAAATATGAAAGAATTTATATGTCTGCCTGATAACAAATATTTGAACAATTTATGTTTATATATTTCCGATTTATACAGAATTTTCATTTGCGTAAAACTTATCAAGTTTATGACAGTTCTGTATCTGTACGATCTGTACGATCTGTAAGATCTGTACGATCTGCACGCTTATCATTTGCAACTAAAATCTTTTTGCTAAATATTTTCTTTAAATCAAAAGGAAAATCAATATACACAAACAGACAATCTGGTGTCCTATCCTTCAATCTGGTATCCTATCCTTCGATCTGGTGTCCTATCCTTCAATCTGGTGTTCTATCCTACAATCTGGTGTCCTATCCTTCAATCTGGTGTCCTTTCCTTCAATCTGGTGTCCTATCCTACAATCTGGTGTCCTATCCTACAATCTGGTGTCCTATCCTTCAATCTGGTGTCCTATCCTACAATCTGGTGTCCTATCCTACAATCTGGTGTCCTATCCTACAATCTGGTGTCCAATCCTACAATCTGGTGTCCTATCCTTCAGTCTGGTGTCCTATCCTACAGTCTGGTGTCCTATCCTACAGTCTGGTGTCCTATCCTACAATCTGGTGTCCTATCCTACAATCTGGTGTCCTATCCTTCAATCTGGTGTCCTAACCTACAATCTGGTGTCCTATCCTACAATCTGGTGTCTTATCCTTCAATCTGTGATCAAACTTTGCTAAATAAGAAATTTCCCAGATATCAGAACTTTAAAGCCGACGAATTTGCAGTATGTCAATCTATATATAAATTTGGCTTGTCTGTCTGTTTGTCTGTTTGTTTGTATCCAATAAACGTCAAAACGGCTGAACCGATCGGGCCCAAATTTTTTGTGGGACATCACGTGACCACAGGGAAGGTTTATGAATGATCAAAATTTCAAATATTTGTCTCCATCAAAATTCGATCTTCATTAAATATTTGAAAATCCACGAAATTTTTGTGAAAATCCGCGAATTATTTTTGTTTTGGTTTACGATGTACACAAAGAGAACATGTTCACAATTAATTTAGAAGATGGGCGCGAAGCGCCCTATGAGGCTAGTAACTATATATAAATTTAGCTTGTCTGTTTGTCTGTTTGTTTGTATCCAATAAACGTCAAAACGGCTGAACCGATCAGGCCCAAATTTTGTGTGGAGACCTCACGTGGCCCCAGGGAAGGTTTATGGCCAATCAGACTTTATGTAATCTTAAAATATTTTTTTCTTAAATTATTTAATTTGGTAAAATTTTGAAAATGCGCGAAAAAATATTATGAAATCCGCAAATAACAAAAAATTCTATAATGTACAAAAATAAGATGCTCACAGACTATATGAATTCTTTAGCTAAACTTGACTTTGCAATCAATTCAGTGGGAAAAGAAACAAACTGCATGTTGTCAGTATGTAAAAAGCGTTTGCAAGAGGAGGACGGAATTTATTTTAATGACTGACGATAGCATAGATCTAGGCGTGTCGCTTTAAATAGTTAATAAAAAAGTAGACGTCGTGTCGCCAGGTTAGCATATGTTACATCAAAAGACGGGTCGCCATAAATATTTGACTAAATTACGTAGGTGTGTCGCCATTTATTAAATTAGGCGAGTTGCCATCTCAGTTACAACAAACAGGCGTGTCGCCATAAATTATTGATGAAACAAAAAGGCGGGTTGCCATAATTTTTTATCAAATAAGTAGCTAAACTTGATTTCGCAATCAATTCAGTGGAAAAAGAAACAAACTTTATTTTTGTCAATGTCTTAAAAGCGTTTGCAAGAGGAGGACGGAATTTCTTAGCTGTTTTCATGTATTTAGTAAAAAGTTGAAGTTGACTGCTGGATACAAGCGTTTATTGATCAAAATTCACAGTTTTCTCGTAGTTTTCAGAGGGATTTGATTCAATTCAGCAATTCAATTCAGGAGCGCGGCGGTAGTTAAAATCTATTAAGGAGAGAATTGTTTACAACGTTTTCATACTACGTCCACTACATGTTTAGATTTTTGGATGGTCGATCCGTGCTTCTCAAGCTGAGCCAATTCCGTTGCCAGTTGCAGTTCGTAGTCTGAATTCGTTTTATAAGCAATCTCTCTCCGAATTGGCGGTAAAGCAAAGATGTTGATAGGTGATTTCTATGTTTATTTTGTCACTGATATGCTGAAGAAGGCATGTGAAAGAAAGAATTAGTATTTCTCTCGAAGTATCTCAAATTCTCAAAACGAAGAGAGAAAAGATTTTATTTAAGGGCAACGTCGGGACCTTCAGCTAGTTACTTATAAAAGTTGTTCATCAGCTTGAAAGCATTTTGCATTGATGAGTGAGTAAAACTGAAGATTGCAAAAATAGAAAGAAAAAGTGCGAAAAAACACATATATTTTAGTAAAAAGTAATCAACGAATATGTTTATGTAAAAAATATCTTTCAATTATAAAACAGACAGACAGTTAGTTATTTCTTTCGAATGAAGTGTGGGATTTCCTTAAAAAATATTGAGTAAATATACTTTTCGTCGTAATTTTATGTATTAAAAAGTATTGAAGAAAAGGAATGCCTCACTCTCTGGTGGCATATAATTTAACAAAATTAGGATATTAACCAAATTTAGTTTTGTTTTCAGGATATACGTAAAAATCGTAAAATATCTGCTATATTCGATATAAGAGAGTTCAGTGATCTATTAAAGGATTACAGAATGCTCGGATATCAGGGCGCTTCGCGACCATCTTCTGTTTCAAATTTTAATTGTTGCTCAATTTTTAGCATTTTCTCTTCAATTAAACCAAAAAAATATTGTGGATTTACAATTTTGTTTCAGTGGAATTTTACGAAATCAAATTTTTCGGAGACAACTTTTGTAATTCTAAGCATCCCTGAGTTCATGTAAAGTCCCAAACTAAATTTGGGCCGATCGGTTCAGCCGTTTAGACATTATAATGGATACAAACAAACAAACAAACAGACAGACAGGCAAGCAAAGTATATTTATAGATATTAATCTATAGATTGAAAGAAAACTGAAGATTAAAATTAAAAATATTATGTTTTTCTTGTACCTAACATTTATTACTATTAGCTAGGCACATTTTTGAAAATAAAATGCTCAAATCAACCATGCATCAGTTTTAAAGTTTTTTTTGAATTTATGAATTTTTTTTTAAAATTTTAAACTCAGATTTTTTATTTTTTTGTGTAAATCAAATCACTAATTCAAGCTAGAACAACATTTCGTGAAAATAAATTAAGAAGAAGATCAAAATTTCCGTCTTGAATTTCTCGAAAACTAAGCAAATTACAAGCAAAAAGCGTTTTTTGGAAAATATTGCCAGAGTGTCGAAAAAAAATATTTTTCAGCCCTAAATAAAACAATTTTTTAACTATCTAATAAAGAAAAACGAACAGTATATATTCAGAGTTTTAAGACAAATCTTTCATGCACATTTCAATATTTTTTGAAAAAAATTGAATAATCGTTCTTCATTTATGGTCGCAGTTTTTTTTAATCGTTAATTACTGAATGAGTTTTCTTTTTTTTCTTTTTTTTCTTTTACAAATGTTGCTTCCAATTTACTACTGTACTGAAAGCAGAATGTCATGACTTAAAGATTCATTCGAGAATTGTAAGTTTTTATATATGGTCATAGGGTGTCCCTAAAAGTTTGATTGTCTGATTTATTGATGATATTTTGCTGGTGCATAGTTTCTTCCATAATCGTAAGAAAACATTTCTCCTAGAATTAGCAGTACACTATCAATGTATTGTACTTGGTACACGATCCTTGAAGGTGCTAGTATGTTCTTGAGATTATTGAAGAGGGGTTAGTTACCATAGCTACACTGTGTGGGTGTTGATCGTATCTTTAGACTTTAGTACGTGAGCTCTGTTCTCGAGTTTATTGCCTAGGATTAGTTTAGTCCTTCTCATGTCCTTCTTCAGTTTTCGTCAATTTGATATATTTCTCAGTGAAATATTGTTGTTCAAATAGTTCCATTATGAAATCCATTAAAACACCAAATTACCCCGCTTAGCATTGAAGTACACTTTGACTCCTAGAAGTACGAGTTCGTGGACTGTACAATTCTTAGTGATTTTGCGTACATAAGCTATCTATGTTTATTTATTTATCTATGATGAAATTTTGGCTGGGGAACTCGATATAGTACCATGCATGCACCCTAAGGTATAAGCTGGTGCAGTTAATTGCAATGGTTTGCAGTACATTGATCGAATAAACATATAGGGTCATAACGGAGAGTGATGAAAATGTTCTTTGTTCAATGTTACAGTATATTGTAATCTGTATATTATGTGTAATCTATGATATAATATATTGTAATCTGTGTATTATGCGTAATCTGTGTTTTTTGTGTAGTCTATGTTACAGTATATTGTGATCTGCCCGCATGAATTCC